AGTTCTTTCTATTACAGATAGTTAACATGTTATACACACACTGACACACACACTAGACACACACTGGCACAAAGATACACACACACACACTGGCACAAAGATACATACATTGACACACAGATACACATAGATATACACACTTTGGCACAACGATATACACACACACACTGGTACATACACTCAACGGAAACATAAGTGGGAAACGCTGAGCTAGAGAAATTAGAAGAGGAGAGTGTGGAGAGGACAGGCAGCAGCCTAGTATTTTCGCTGGCAGCTAGTGTGCTTGCCTCCTGCATCTTCCCCACCACCTCCAAGTAATTTGTATCTGCTTTAGAATCCACTCATCCAAAGGAGACACTTGTGACATCAGCTGCACCATCTATCTCTTGTATAAGCAGATCACCCATTATCAATGTTACCGTAACCAACATCACCACTACCACCACTATGACATTGTCATTAGCATTAATCCCATTGCTAGTCTACAGGCTAGTGTTGCAACAGCTTCTACTACCACAGATTCAAATCTATCTGCATTTTCACCAGCCACAATCCAAAGGGTGGGTATTAATGTATAGTGCCAATGAAGCAAAGTTTGGGATCACTTTGAGTGTCTCTAAAAGGCCAACTTGAACAGCACATATCATGTGGTGAGGAAGTAAGTAGATGGAAAGTGAAGGTTCCTCTCACTCGTGCCAGTATAAACAAACATCTACAAAGTCTGTATTACTGAAGAAAGAAGAAGAACAAGAAAGCAATAGGGCAGGGAGCAGGTCCACTGGTGCTGTGTTATTACCTCCACTACTATCGCCACCCTTAAGAAGAGCAGTGAGGGGTGGTGAGGGTAGTGCCAATAGTCATCAGACGCAGTTTGGTTAGGAACAGTCAAACCCCTCATAATCTGGTGAATTACAATGTAATAGAGCAGCAGGAAATGCTAGCAGAATGCTTGGTTGTATAGGGAGAGGCATTAGCAGAACACTGGTGAGACCTTACTTGGAGTATTGTACGCAGTACTGGAGACCGTACCTTCAGAAGGATATTGAAACTTTAGAGAGAGTTCAGAGAAGGGCTACTAAACTGGTTCATGGATTGCGGGATAAAACTTACCAGGAAAGGTTAAAGGATCTTAACATGTATAGCTTGGAGGAAAGACAAGACAGGGGGGATATGAAAGAAACATTTAAATACATAAAGGGAATCAACACAGTAAAAGAAGAAACCATATTTAAAACCATATTTTTTTTCAATTTGTAGTTTTTTATTGATTTTTCACAGTAAACGGGGTACAGAAAGGAAAAAGGGAGGGGTAAGCTTCCATTCACAGTTCGTGTTTATCAATTCAAGTTTGTCATTACAGGGTTAGTAAAACAAGTTTCCACATCAAGTTTGTCAGTTCAGTTTAGCTAATACAAGTTGATCTATTACTAGTTTTCCCATTACATATTTATTCATTACAGGCTTATTCAATGATAATATACAAATAATGTTCTAATATGTGCGTTATCCTTCACATTAGTAATATATATGCAATAGGATTCCACATGCGGGTTATTTGCCCTGATAGCGGGGAAAAGCAATATAGTGGTTACATAAGCATAAACATATATGTGTGACTATATCCAAACGAACACACTTTAAGCGCTGAACGACAGATCCACAATATGTGACTGCTAGAGCCATGTGAAAGACAAGTATAACATGCACAATACATGATTGATTAGTCCATGTATTTATCTCTGCTATGGTACAGGATGCCTAGGCTGTGCTGTTAGCTGTGCATGACTTGTTGCTATCTGTATTAGGAAAAAATGGAATCTTGTGGTGTGTACACTGAGAGCATCACTCGTCTGGGATGTAAATGGGGGAAATGTAAGAGAGGAGAAGTAGGAGGGGAAGGAGGAATGGAGGAAAAAGGAGGGAGGAAGGAAGGAGGAAACCTTTATATGTTAGTAGTGTGTGAAAGCAATATAGTACAGGTTTGTCTGATTAACTTAGGCTGACATATTGTTTATATGATGATTCCTAATTGCACCATTCTAAATTAAATTTGGCCGAATTGCTTCTTTTTGCCCATTCTTTCTCATGATAATAAGTAGTGTTTACTCTCCGAAGAATATCTGATATAGTGGGACATATGTTACTTTTCCAATGGGCCGCAATGCCTATTTTAGCTGCTAGTAGAATATTAATAACTGCGGCTCTGGAAGGGATGCGGTTTAGGTTGGGAATTAGGTGGAGCAGATAACCAGCTGGTGTGAGTGGGATTGATAGCCCTGACAACAAGCGTAATAGTGAATGCACACTTGTCCAAAAAAGGTATGTAGTTTCTTACAGTCCCCAAAAATTTGTTTTACAGGGAGTGCAGAATTATTAGGCAAGTTGTATTTTTGAGGATTAATTTTATTATTGAACAACAACCATGTTCTCAATGAACCCAAAAAACTCATTAATATCAAAGCTGAATATTTTTGGAAGTAGTTTTTAGTTTGTTTTTAGTTATAGCTATGTTAGGGGGATATCTGTGTGTGCAGGTGACTATTACTGTGCATAATTATTAGGCAACTTAACAAAAAACAAATATATACCCATTTCAATTATTTATTATTACCAGTGAAACCAATATAACATCTCAACATTCACAAATATACATTTCTGACATTCAAAAACAAAACAAAAACAAATCAGTGACCAATATAGCCACCTTTCTTTGCAAGGACACTCAAAAGCCTGCCATCCATGGATTCTGTCAGTGTTTTGATCTGTTCACCATCAACATTGCGTGCAGCAGCAACCACAGCCTCCCAGACACTGTTCAGAGAGGTGTACTGTTTTCCCTCCTTGTAAATCTCACATTTGATGATGGACCACAGGTTCTCAATGGGGTTCAGATCAGGTGAACAAGGAGGCCATGTCATTAGATTTTCTTCTTTTATACCCTTTCTTGCCAGCCACGCTGTGGAGTACTTGGACGCGTGTGATGGAGCATTGTCCTGCATGAAAATCATGTTTTTCTTGAAGGATGCAGACTTCTTCCTGTACCACTGCTTGAAGAAGGTGTCTTCCAGGAACTGGCAGTAGGACTGGGAGTTGAGCTTGACTCCATCCTCAACCCGAAAAGGCCCCACAAGCTCATCTTTGATGATACCAGCCCAAACCAGTACTCCACCTCCACCTTGCTGGCGTCTGAGTCGGACTGGAGCTCTCTGCCCTTTACCAATCCAGCCACGGGCCCATCCATCTGGCCCATCAAGACTCACTCTCATTTCATCAGTCCATAAAACCTTAGAAAAATCAGTCTTGAAATATTTCTTGGCCCAGTCTTGACGTTTCACCTTGTGTGTCTTGTTCAGTGGTGGTCATCTTTCAGCCTTTCTTACCTTGGCCATGTCTCTGAGTATTGCACACCTTGTGCTTTTGGGCACTCCAGTGATGTTGCAGCTCTGAAATATGGCCAAACTGGTGGCAAGTGGCATCGTGGCAGCTGCACGCTTGACTTTTCTCAGTTCATGGGCAGTTATTTTGTGCCTTGGTTTTTCCACACGCTTCTTGCGACCCTGTTGACTATTTTGAATGAAACGCTTGATTGTTCGATGATCACGCTTCAGAAGCTTTGCAATTTTAAGAGTGCTGCATCCCTCTGCAAGATATCTCACTATTTTTGACTTTTCTGAGCCTGTCAAGTCCTTCTTTGACCCATTTTGCCAAAGGAAAGGAAGTTGCCTAATAATTATGCACACCTGATATAGGGTGTTGATGTCATTAGACCACACCCCTTCTCATTACAGAGATGCACATCACCTAATATGCTTAATTGGTAGTAGGCTTTCGAGCCTATACAGCTTGGAGTAAGACAACATGCATAAAGAGGATGATGTGGTCAAAATACTCATTTGCCTAATAATTCTGCACTCCCTGTATATTGCCCTTGACTTTGTTGCACCTCCAGCATATTGAGGATGTTGTAGGGTAAATTGTGCTTAATCTGCTGGGTACCATTTCATCAGTACTTTATAGTATGCTTCCCAGTGGGTAACACAGTGTGAGGCATTTTTTGTAAGTGTGATAGCTGACTCCCATTCGGCTATTTGGAAAGTCTTTCCTAAATCTTCTTCCCATGTCAGCATATACGGCAACCTATTAATTTTTAGTGTGTCTGCTTGTGCCAGATAACAAAGTTTTAGGAATCTGGATGAGAACAGGTTGTTTCCTAATGTATAGCATTTGTGGCCTATTTTACTGAGTGAGGACGTATCTATATGTTCTATTTTGTTAGACCTTAGGATGTTCTTCACCCTTAGGTAAAGAAAAATGTCCCGGTATGGTAATTCATGGGAGGCTTGTAGCTCTGTGAAAGTGAGTAGACCGTTGTCGTTATACAATGAGTGTACATGGGTTTTTCCTTTATTTGACCAGTGTTGTATGGGTAGGTCAGGCGAGATTGTTGAGAGAGCTTGTATTGGGGCTAGGTACAATAGTTTCTTGTAGGGACACAGTTGTAGGATATGTTGTTATTGCGTAGAGTTTTGGTAATAGTGATGAATTCCATTCTTCTTGCCATTGTGGTGGCAGATAGGTCCGCAAATAGGGATATTTGTTGGTGGGTGTCTGGAAGTGTGCCCGCTTTTCTTGCTGCAGTTAGTAATTAATCTTTGTGGGCATAGTAGTGGATTTTGACAATAATATCTTTGGGGACGTCACTCGCCAATCGAGCCGGGCGCGGGAGTCTGTGCATTTGGTCAAAGGCCCAAGCTGAGTCAGGCAGACCCAGGATCAGGGATTTGCAGACGGATAAAATGTATGCTGGTAAGGCATCGTGGGAGACATCATCTGGTATGCCTCTGAATTGGACATTTTGCCTCCTATATATATCTTCTAGATCTGCTAATTTTAATTTTAGTGTAACATTTTCTTTGAGATTTTTAGTAGTTTGTCTACTACTTCATTGTGGGCCACACATAATTCCTCTGACCTGTTTTCCAAGTGGCTAGTTCGCTCACCTAAGGTAGAGATCTCTTTTTCTCAGGTCGCTGTCAATGCGGTGGAAGTCAGTTCTGATTGTAGTTCGGAGTTCTTGCAGCATCTTGTGGAGACTGCGCTCCGTGATTGCTGTATCAGAGTATTTAGAGTAAGTGGAATCATGGTCGGATTGGCCGTCCGACGTGTTTGTCATGTCGTCGCCATCTTGGCTTTCTTTTCTGCGATCTTTTTGCTGGAGTTTCCCCGCTTCCGATAATTTTAATTGCTTTGAAGGTGGCATGATAGTAATAAGCCTCCAGGAATATGTGCAGGATCGTGAAATTGCAGTTAGATTGCTTGATTTGAGTTCACGGCGGAGCTCTTAAACAATGCGACTGCTCTCGCCGGAAGTTGGACACCCCCCCCCCCCTTAAAACCATATTTAAAAGAAGAAAAACTACAACAACAAGAGGACATAGTCTTAAATTAGAGGGGCAAAGGTTTAAAAATAATATCAGGAATTATTACTTTACTGAGAGGGTAGTGGATGACCCAGTCTGCATTTAATAGAATGGCTACACCTTTGGATTTGTTGGGTGCATACACATGGAATGTTGTGTGATATTTTGTTGAGAGTAGTTGGCGTGGGTTTATTTTACAGAGGTGGGTCTCTTGAAGGCATAATATGGCTGCATTGGTAGAATGCATATCTTTCAGCACTTGCCTCCTTTTATAAGGACTATTGAGATAGAATTTTCATTGTGTTAGTCATTGTAACCGGTGGGTGTGACTTTTAGGTGTGGTATGCATACTGTGGGGACTTTGAATGGAATATAGTCCACTGTTGGTCCATATAAAAAGATATGTATAGACCTTAATCGGAGTATTACGGGAATTTTCCCATGAGATGTATTTATAGCATAGTGAGTCTCGATATAGAGGGTAGGTTTTGGTCTTGCCGTTAGTATGCCATATATGCGTGAAATTGAAGTTAGATTGCTTGATTCGAGTTCACAGCGGAGCTCTTAAGCCATGGGACTGCTCTCGCCGGAAGTTGGACACGCCACCCCCCCCCCCCTTAAAACCATGTTTAAAAGAAGAAAAACTACAACAACAAGAGGACATAGTCTTAAATTAGAGGGGCAAAGGTTTAAAAATAATATCAGGAATTATTACTTTACTGAGAGGGTAGTGGATGCATGGAATAGCCTAACGGCTGAAGTGGTAGAGGTTAACACAGTAAAGGAGTTTAAGCATGCATGGGATAGGCATAAAGCTATCCTAACTATAAGATAAGGTATTTAGAAAATTGGGCAGACTAGATGGTCCGAATGGTTCTTATCTGCCGTCACATTCTATGTTTCTATGTTTCTATATAATTTAAAAAAAATGGAAAAATGGTTCCTTTTGCCTAGTTGTCACGGCAAGTGTAAATTACACCCACTTTAATTCACTGATTGAGAATTTGTTTTACTGATTTATCTTTTATTTTATTTCTAGTAAGAGATGGATTTGATTTACAGTGTGCTTTGGTGCCACTGCGTGTGCTTTGGGAATTGAAAACGTCTTTCTTCAGTAATATAAACAGTGTGTACCAGTTTACTGCACAGGTGAACCCTTTCTGCATGTGTGTGGCAGGTCTTTTTTTAACTCTTTGTGTTAGTGGTACATATTGTGGTTGTGATGTTTTCAAGTGCCTTTCATTGTTCCATTTTTGCCCTGCCTCACTCAATCTTGCAGTGTGGCTATGCTTGCTACTTTCACAAATCCAGGTGGTATAAACTGGTCTGATTTGCAGGGTGTTTCTGTGCCACTGCTTGTGCTTTGGAAATTGTAAGCTACTGCCCTCAGAAAAAAATACAGTGTGTCTCCAGTTTACTGTACAAAGGAAACCTATACTGTGTATGGCAGTACTAGTGTTGAAGGCAGGGAACAACATTTTTCTTTTCCAACTTGTATTTTATTGAAGTTTTAAATGGGGATACAAAAATGAAAAAGGGGAGGTGGGGGGATGTACAGCAAACACATATTTTCACACATTATATATATTTCTACAAGTATACAAGTGTGTGTTATTGTTATTACAGGTTCATTCTCCATTATCCGAGGATATTGATTACAGGTTGTCGATAAACAAGGAATATCAATATTAAAATTAAAAAGCAGTCAATAAATAGAGAATATCAACATTAAAAGATGTTACTCAAATCTTTAGTTTACTAATTTGCTAATCTACTGATCTAATCTCTCTCATTGCAGTGTCATTGGTTGCCCTGCACTCCTTTAACATTTACCTTCCGTGCTTGTTAGTAATTATCCCCAGGTGAAACCTTCCCTCTCATTGTAATTATGTAGCATGCACTTTTTAATAATTCAACAGCAGGCATGTAAAGATATGGATTAAGCAAACGTGTTCTTTTGGCTATACTGATATCTTTATCACTATTCTTGGAACATTTCCTTATATATGCTTATTTATCCTGCATATATGTATCGTGATTAGTTAGCTTGTGTCATATAAAGAAAGTAGTGATGTCGCGAACCCGAAATTTTCGGTTCGCGAACAGCGAACGCGAACTTCCGCAAATGTTCGCGAACCGGCGAACCGCCCGAACCGCCATTGACTTCAATGGGCAGGCGAATTTTAAAACACACAGGGACTCTTTCTGGCCACAATAGTGATGGAAAAGTTGTTTCAAGGGGACTAACACCTGGACTGTGGCATGCCGGAGGGGGATCCATGGCAAAACTCCCATGGAAAATTACACAGTTGATGCAGAGTCTGGTTTTAATCCATAAAGGGCAGAAATCACCTAACATTCCTAAATCACAATGAATATGGATTGACACCTGACATATGACATATTGACACCTTGACATATGGATTGACACCTGTCCTCAGAGCCCCTGATGCACACGGACACAGAGCAGAATAGAGACTGGTCCCCTACATAGGGTCACTTGGCAGATATGGATTGACACCTGTCCTAAGGATCCCTGATACACACTGACACAGAGCAGAATAGGGACTGTTCCCCCTACATCGGGTCACTTGGCAGATATGGATTGACACCTGTCCTAGGGACCCTGATACACACTGACACAGAGCAGAATAGGGACTGTTCCCCCTACATAGGGTCACTTGGCAGATATGGATTGGCACCTGTCCTCAGAGACCCTGATACACACTGACACAGAGCAGAATAGGGACTGTTCCCCCTACATAGGGTCACTTGGCAGATATGGATTGACACCTGTCCTCAGAGACCATGATACACACTGACACAGAGCAGAATAGGGACTGTTCCCCTACATCGGGTCACTTGGCAGATATGGATTGACACCTTGTTACAAACTGCTATTTGTTACGGGCCCTTTAAATGGCAAATTGCCGTGCTTCCCTGGGTTGTGGAGAAGCCTATTTGCCAGCCTCCTCCCGCATGACTATGGCCCCTGGGAGATTGTGAAAATGTATGAACTTTTATTTGGTGTGTATGGCCCTTTAAGACTGTCAGTGGGCATATTGGGGCTTATGGACTCTTTATGTGACTGGTGCTGGCCCTTTAAACACCTTTTTTGGGACATCAGGAAGATTGGGACACTGCCCCTTTAAGGCCGTGTCCCCAGACTTGTTGGGGACACTGCCCCTTTAAGACGGTGTCCCCTGTGTCCCCAGACCTGGTGCAAACCCTTTATGCCTGCCTGGCTAATTCCCACTTGGTTCAGTAAATGGGGCTTACTGAACCCAGTACCACACATGCAGACCACCCAGAAGTGGAAGTGTGCAGGCAATTTACCTCCCAGAAGCTGCGGTTAACCGCAGCTTAATTGACAATGCTGGGAGGTCTTTGTTCGTTTGCCGAACACGTGGCGGCGGCCATCTTTGATCATTAAACGTTGGGGGTTGAGGATCTGATTGGCGATGGGACTTAGTCGTTTTCAGCCTGAAATAGACCGACCTCACAGCCCAAATCTATGGAACTGTTTTGGGCAGGAAAATGTGCTTGCAGTCGGTCATAAAGGGACCTCCAGCTAACTTTTTAACCCCTGGATGGATTTGGCTGATTTTTGGTTATGTTTATATTTTAAGTGTGCTGATTCCAAATATGTAATTATGAAGATGGGATGTGTAGTTTTAAAGTTACAGGGTATGGCTAAAAACTGTATTTTTACTGCCTGTGTTTAATTATGTTAATCTCTTCCCAAACGTCATTTCGTTCAAAGTGGAGAATGTTAAAAAAATATATTTTTGTTCGGAGTGTGAGAAATGCTTTTCAGCCGCTTCTAATCTTAAGCATCATTTGAGGAGCCATACAGGAGAGAAACCTTATTTGTGGTGTGTTTAGTATTGTTCTGATCAGTTTAATACCTTCGGCGTCTCCTATCAGTGGACGTGTATATGGCAGCCATTTTAGGAACCGTACACCTGGGACCCAAGCAAGGTCACCTCGTTCAACAGGCTTGCAGCGTATCCTCCAGGAAGAAGAGCCTGAACCCTTACCGGCTGCACGTGTCTTACCTGTACATGGAAAGCTGCTCTGGTTCCTTGATGAGCCAGCTGCCCGTGAGTTAACATGTCCCGTGGAGAAGCACTGTGTCCTGTAAAGCCTCACCAAAAAAAAAGAGTGGTGTGTTTAGTATTGTTCTGATCAGTTTAATACCTTCCGCGTCTCCTATCAGTGGACGTGTATATGGCAGCCATTTTGTCAGATTCAAGTTCTTGTGCCCACAGTTCAAAATAACATTCAAATGACAATTCATGACAGATCACACAAGTGAATAGCCCTGCCAACGTCTTCTCAGAATTTTTTCGTTTTCTATGAAGAAATAGAAATGCAAGAGCAGAATAGAGACTGTTCAGTTTAATACCTTCCGCGTCTCCTATCAGTGGATGTGTACATGGCATTGATTTTTGTAACAGGGAGATGGAAGAAGAGGCTTGGTCAGTCCTCTTACTGCAAATTTGGGGCACTGCGCGGTCAAGCTAATGTAACACCAGATAGGAGTGGTGTGTTTAGTACTATTTTTATCAGTTTAATACCTTCAGCGTCTCCTATCAGTGGACGTGTACACGGCATTGATTTTTATCTAAGCTGTAAACTTTTGCATAGCGAAGTAGATTCACTGCCATTGAAAAGGAGTGCATGGCGGTGGTGTGGGCCCTCAAAAAGATGCAACCTACTTGTATGGACAACCGTTTACCTTACTCACAGA